TTTCTCAAATCTTATGTTTTTTTTCTTTCTTTTTTATATAAAGATTTTGTTTTACATTAAAGATAAACACAAAATTGGCATAACATCAACGGTAGTCCATTTTGTACGTTTTATCTTATGGATTCACTGATAATCTCGATGTTTCATTCATCATTGTCATTTATGTCTCTGACATTGTGCGGCAGTTGCCTTTGTCGCCCCAATGTCCGTATGACATCTTATGACACACACGGCCGGTTTGTCAGAATCGTGCCAGGCCCAACCTAAACGACTTTCATTCCTCGGACACGCACATACACAGAAATAAATGCATTTCTGTCAGTCTACACATGCATATTAACCGTGCAGATACGATGCAGATAGGAAGATAAATGTATATTTATTTGATAGATCGATAGATGTGCATTTATTTCTGTGTATATAGACTTCAGCTGGCTCGTTGGGACACTGTAATGTTACCTTTGGTTGCAGGAGAAACGAGCCGCTTTGGGTAACTACCTTGGAAATTCTGTGAACGAGTAGGTCAGCGCTGTAACTGCCTCTGAACTGTCCTTTTAACAGTTTGCTTATTCATCGGCGGGGCAATGTGGTCATACGTATTTACATGAACAAGTGCTACTCGCGCAGAACTTTGTAATCTTCGCCTTTATTGGCTAAGCACCTTATATCTGAGTTATAAGCAATAATACAAAGAACTATTACTTACACAACTGACATCCTTATATGAATATCATTCTTTCAATAAAGATTTTATTTTCTCTGTCTGGCGTAGGCAAATCAATGTGTCGAATACTTTTCCATAAACATTTATAAATATGGGTCTACTCTTAGATCTCACGTAGCAGCCTTCAAATTCGATGATAGTGTCTACAGGAATCTAAAAAAAAAAATGTATTGGCGACCACTTGTAAAAATACATCGTTTTATTCGGTTGTTTTGAGGCCATTGATGTCGAAATATCCTTTTGTTTATGTCAGTATCTCCTAAGTCTTTCTCATTAACTAATTTTTTAAATCAGAATCACTGTAAATAAACAGTGATTCGCAAACGAGATTACAATTTTGGGCAGTGAATTCGTTCGCGAATATTGTGAATAAGATCGGGCCCAATATAGATCCTTGTGGAGAGTTAATGCTTTGTTGATATAATGGTCATGAATTTCGACGATGAGGTCTATGAGTTAGATAACTTCTGAACCTGTAGTTATCGAGTTTGTGGTTATTCGGTGGCCAAGGGTTTCGTGGTTGACACTGTCGAAAGCTGAACTGCAGTCATGTTAACGAATGTAGAAACGGTATGAAACGGGACTTCACAGTACAAAAGATGTATTTGTGATCGGTTTCGAATATCCGCAATTCTGACGAAGATATATTCGAAACCGGTCAAAGACAAGCATTTCTGACGAAGATATATTCGAAACCGGTCAAATACATGTATTTCTGACGAAGATATATTCGAAACCGGTCAAATACATGTATTTCTGACGAAGATATATTCGAAACCGTTCAAATACATGTATAAGATATATTCGAAACCGATGTATTCTGACGAAGATATATTCGAAAATATTTCTGACGAAGATATATTCGAAACACGTGTATTTCTGACGAAGATATATTCGAAACCGGTCAAATACGTGTATTTCTGACGAAGATATATTCGAAACCGGTCAAATACGTGTATTTCTGACGAAGATATATTCGAAACCGGTCATTTCTGACGAAGATATATCGAAACCGGTCAAATACATGTTTTCTGACGAAGATATATTCGAAACCGGTCAAATACATGTATGACGAAGATATATTCGAAACCGGATGTATTTCTGACGAAGATATATTCGAACCGGAAATACATGTACGAAGAACGGTCAAATACATGTATTTCTGACGAAGATATATTCGAAACCGGTCAAATACATGTATTTCTGACGAAGATATATTCGAAACCGATCAAATACGTGTATTTCTGACGAAGATATATTCGAAACCGATCAAATACATGTATTTCTGACGAAGATATATTCGAAACCGATCAAATACGTGTATTTCTGACGAAGATATATACGAAACCGGTCAAATACATGTATTTCTGACGAAGATATATTCGAAACCGGTCAAATACATGTATTTCTGACGAAGATATATTCGAAACCGGTCAATACATGTATTCTGACGAAGATATATTCGAAACGGTCAAATACATGTATTTCTGACGAAGATATATTCGAAACCGGTCAAATACATGTATTTCTGACGAAGATATATTCGAAACCGGTCAAATACATGTATTTCTGACGAAGATATATTCGAAACCGTCAAATACATGTATTTCTGACGAGATATATTCGAAACCGGTCAAATACATGTATTTCTGACGAAGATATATTCGAAACCGGTCAAATACATGTATTTCTGACGAAGATATATTCGAAACGGGTATTCCGGTCAAATACATGTATTTCTGACGAAGATATATTCGAAACCGGTCAAATACATGTATTTCTGACGAAGATATATTCGAAACCGGTCAAATACATGTATTTCTGACGAAGATATATTCGAAACCGGTCAAATACATGTATTTCTGACGAAGATATATTCGAAACCGGTCAAATACATGTATTTCTGACGAAGATATATTCGAAACCGGTCAAATACATGTATTTCTGACGAAGATATATTCGAAACCGGTCAATTACATGTATTTCTGACGAAGATATATTCGAAACCGGTCAAATACATGTATTTCTGACGAAGATATATTCGAAACCGGTCAAATACATGTATTTCTGACGAAGATATATTTCGAAACCGGTCAAATACATGTATTTCTGACGAAGATATATTCGAAACCGTCAAATACATGTATTTCTGACGAAGATATATTCGAAACCGGTCAAATACATGTATGACGAAGATATTCGAAACCGGTCAAATACATGTATTTCTGACGAAGATGTATTCGAAACCGGTCAAATACGTGTATTTCTGACGAAGATATATTCGAAACGGTCAAATACATGTATTTCTGACTGTCAAATACATGTATTTCTGACGAAGATATATTCGAAACCGGTCAAATACATGTATTTCTGACGAAGATATATTCGAAACCGATACATGTATT